GGGCAGCTTGGATATACCTTATTCTCTCTCTCTCTCTCTCTCTCTCTCTCTCTCTCTCTCTCTCTCTCTCTCTCTCTGTGTGTGTGTGTGTGTGTGTGTGTGTGTGTGTGTGTGTGTGTGTGTGTGTGTGTTTTGAGACAGGATCTTGTGTAGCTCAGTTGGGCCTTGAATTCACTATGTAACTAAGGCTGGCCTTGAACTCCTGATCTTCCTGCTTCTACCTCCCAAATGCTGGAATTACAGGTGTGCAACACCACACCTGACTATGATACCTTGTTTCTTTTAATGTCATCTGTCCAGGTCTCTAGACATGCCAAAACAGAAACAGCATATAAATGTAAGGTAGCTGGTATTATATTACTAATGTCTATAATTATGGCTAACTAAAAATTATTCTGTATAATTATGAATTATGAGCACAAGCTAGCGTAACGTATTACCTGTCAACAGTTAGCTAGCAAACTGTAAAAATTACATAGCTAGTATCAAAGGCACAAATATATGTCTCTTATGAACATTGTTGTGCCATGTAATTTTGCTGGAAGACTATGAAAAATAAGCATGAGGCAAATGGTGTTTATATATTTCATCTATCTGATAAACAGATTCAACAAGCCCAGTCCCTCCCTCCCCTCACCCCATCCCCTCTGCTTCAAATCATGCCTTTTACATGCTGGTAAGCACTCTGCCTAACTGAGCAGCATCTGCCTTCTCTCAGCCTTTCCTTTAAAATGAATACTCTAGGCTATAGAGATGGCTCAGTGGGTACAAGTATTTACTCTGCAAGCATGATGACCTGAGTTCAAATCCCAGCACACAGGTATAGTCCTAGTGATGTGGTGGCAGTGACAGGAAGATAGCTGGGGCTTCCTGGCCGACAGCCTCACTGCAGGTTCAGTGAGAGACCCTGTTTTGAAGAATAAGACCAAGGGTGGTAGAGAACCTTTACTTGATGGTCATCAATTTCACAGTGGTTCATTATCCATCACTGTAAGAATAGCAGCCTGCACATGCTGCTATCAAACAAACACCTGGGCACAGTAGTGTGCACATTTAATCCCAGCACTTGGAAGGCAGAGCAGAAGGAGGATCTCCAGGTTCCAGGCAGGCTGATCTACATAGTGAGTTCCAGGACAGCCAGAGCTACATAGAGAAACCCTGTCTCAAAACAAACAAACAAAAAAAAAAAAAAAAGAAACATATACTGGGTGGCTTGAACAACATTTATTTCTATGGTTCTGGAAGCTAGAAAAGTCCCAGATCAGATGACAGTGTGGACAGGTTCTGGGGAAGGTGTAACGAGTATGGTTTTTCTGCCTGCTGCCGCCGAGTCTTGTCCCGCCGCCGCGCCAGCCCCAAATAATACACAGAGACTCTGTATTTGATACAATGCTGTTGGCCCGGTTACTTGTTTCTTATTGGCTAGCTCTGCCTTAATTATTAACCCATTTCTGTTGATCTATGTATTTTCACATGGCCTTCTCTTACTGGGGAGGCGGCTGGCGTCAGGAAAAAACATACTCGTTACAGGAAGGGCTTCTTTCTGACAACTGCCTTCCTGCTACATCTTCACAAGATGGAGAAACAGAGTCCATAAGCTCTTTGGCACTAAGTCTGACCTCATCTAAACTTCCCCCAAAAGGTCCACTTCCTAAAGACTATCACACAGGGGTTAGATCTGCAACATATAAATGCAGGCAGCTGTGAGTATCCAGCGACATTCAGTCCATAACAGTTGAAAACGGAGGCCACTTAAAAAAAAAAAAAAAAAAAAAAAAAAAAAAAAACAAGAACCATATAAATGCACTGGTTTGGCAAGAGGGAGAAACACTGGTTTCTGTACTTTAAAACACCTTAAGCTAAATTTCAGTGTAGAATACTTACATGCTGGCTGTTGTTCACATTGGTGACTTTCTTTAATGGGCAGTTTGTTTATAAAAATGTCTTCCATGCCTCCAAGGATAACAGGCGCAGATGATGACAAGGGATCTGTACAGGAGTAGCTTAGTGGTAATAGTCCGGCATAGCTACTGACCTTTCTAAGCCAAAGCAACAAAGAGAAATGTAACTCTGCAGGTATTTTCATTGTGAATCCAAGGAGATTGGAAATAACAAAAACCAGTCCTATAGAGCTTAGTTTTTAGTTGGTTGGTTTGTTTGTTTTCAAGGCAAGTTTTCTCTGAGTAGTCTTGTCTTCCCTGAAACTCCTGCTGTAGACCAGGCTGGCCTCGAACTTAAGAGATCTGCCTGGCTCCATCTCCTGAGTGCTGGAATCAAAGGCGTGTGCAACCATGCCCATTGGAATTCAGCCTTATTGGAAAGGGTGATTACATATTTGAGTCTTTGATTTCCCATTGTTGACTTCTAGAAGTGGTGTGAGCTACCTATTAAAGGACATAATTAATCTGACTCTCTTCCAGGGTACCTATATAACTGAAGTTATCCCAAGATGTTGTATCATGAAGGCTGAGAAAGACTCATTACTCAGATGCCCAAAAGGCATATTATTTGAGCAAATACATATAATTCTTGAGTCATTTTCAGCATAGCAAATAATGTTCCCTATTACTGAAATGTTATAATTATTCCAAGTTGCTGGGACATTTTTCTAGTTACAGAGCACTAAAAGTATTTAAGGTTTTGCAAGATAGCAATGCAAGGAAAGTATTCCCACATACTATTGGGTCTCTGGAAGCCTAGGAAAGAGAATTCTATTTGGAGGATATACAAAGAATGTTTGTGTTTGTTTAAAGAGAAAGAGTAAAGAACAACTCATTTGCCTATGTTTGGGGATGGGAAGTAAGTACAGTAAGTAAGTTATGGTTAGCCTTTTAGACACACTCCACCCTCCCATGATCTCACCTTCCTCCTACTTCTCACCTATGACTTTACTCTATTTGTGGACTTTGGAGCTATATTCCTAACTTTACTTGCCTTGCACATAACTGGACATAGCTTTAAGTGTTAAGCATCAACTGTCTGTCATTCTCAGGAAAATCTGCATCCAAGAAAATGTGCATGTACAAGAGATATATTTGAATGGCTCAGAACCTTCTAGAACAATAAACCAAGAGCACTCACAAGGAATTAGCTCACAAGACAATGTAATGATTCAGTTATGTTTTCAAGGAAACATGAAATGCTATCCATATTTGTATTTTCTGAAAATAGAATAGAGCAAACGGAATTCTCAGTAGGTCCAGTCAGGCATAACCAATGATCCTGGAAAATGAGTCTCTTTTATAGAGCTATCCATGAAGGCAATCTGGCATGTCACTCACAAGTACTATGTGGGAAAGAACTGAAATAAGAGCAGGTTACCTAGGAATTCCTGAATCCAAAGCACAGACAGAAATGAGAAAACCACAGAAAGATAGCAGAAATAACATGTAAATGCACGCTATTTGATATGTCTCTTAGAGACTATCTTCTACTCCATTAATACTTAACGTTTTAGATTCAATCCATGAACAATATTTCTTTCAACACCAAAGTTGCCACGAGGAAAAGTTATTCATATATACCTATGCATAATTGGAGGGGGAATATATTTGAAAAAATTCAGTCATTTTTTTTCTGCCTTTCTTTTAACGTTTTAAGTGAAGCAATATTGGAATTCGACTATTTGCACAATACCTTGCATAGCAAATGTTTAGTGATTGTTAAATGAATCTTGGAAATATTTGAAACATAGGGTTTTATTTTCTAACTGTGTATTCAATAGTCCTCTCGAAAACGCACATCTACATGTCACACAGACGTCTACACCTGAGAATGCACTCATGAAAAACAGTGGATGGTAACTATTACAACAGAATAGACTAGAATGATGACAGTTTGAGAAAGTATGAAGGGAAATTCCAAACATTAATTTATTTCCAAATATGGTCTTTCAATATCTCAGATATCTTGGTTTCCATGGAAATTCCCAGTGTCTAGGAAATGAAATCTGTTCCGACTTTGAAACTTTGACTTCTCCACAATATCCACACATAAATTGTAATCTTTTCATGTTCTTATAATGCCAAAACAGCTGATTTATACATGTTTGCCAAACCTCAGTGGAAAGCAGTATTGATTATACCATTCGTTGTTTAGAAGGTAGCCCTAAAGCCCAAGTGCCGTTTAAGAGTGGTCAAAGTATCGTGACCCTCACGATAGCCCACACACATTTTACTACCCATTGCACACAGAATTCACACTGACAGCAATTCCTTCATCCTTCTTAGGGTCCTCCAGCTCTTTGAAAACCAATTCGTTGCCCTGTAATGGGAGAAGGACCTCATTTTGGTCAAGGGGGAAAATCTATTATGTGGGATTTGAAATTTCCTTTCTTCTTTTTTCTTTCTTTCTTTCTTTCTTTCTTTCTGTCTGTCTGTCTGTCTGTCTGTCCGTCTGTGTTATGCACTTAACACACAGGTAGAGAAGTAGAATGGATACGGTCTTACTCGGAGATTGTAAAATTATCTGAAGGCAATACAGTTTAACTTCACGCGCTCTTTTACCCGGTCGGTGTTCCTAAGAATCAAGCCAAAACTGACACGAAAAATAGAGCTCTTTCAAAAGTAATTATCATATACAGGAAACAGATGGTAACGCAAAAACACATCTTTCATTGAGAGAGTAACATTCCTTCATCAGCAAAAAATTCCCACGGAATCTCTGCTCCTATTTGTAAATAAGATCTAAAGGCAGCGATGCTGGGAACACCAGGAGGTAAGTGGTGATGCGCAAAGCCCGTTCGTTGGGCAAGGGCTGCGTGGACAGGTCTTCAGCCAGAATCCTGTACCATCCTCCAGCCAAGAGAAGCCCTGTCCCAACTCTTCTGCTTCCAGCCTTAGGGCTGGAGGCGAACGCCCTCGCTTAACTTCAAGGCAGTCACTGGGGCATTCTTTAACCTCCTTCAACTCCCCACACATGGCCAAGCACCCCGTACCCACGGTGGCTCTTGTGTCCTCGGCCAAGACCGGCCTGCCTGGTGGCCCTGCGGGGTGGCTTACCGAGCAGCGAGCCGATGAAGATGACGACCTGCACGGTGGTTGTGAACTGGCGGTACAGCTGCGCCTCGCTCAGCTCCCCGAGCGCGCTGCGGTTGGCGCCAGCCTCGGCCCCCGACGTGTTGCGCGGGTGGCTGGTGTTCGGAGACACCCAGCTGCTGTTGTGCCCCATAGCGAAGCCGGGGGCTTGCGCTCACCCGCCCGCTCTCGGAACCCCGCGCACAGCCGCTCCTGCCCCGGTGCACAGGGACGGACGCGCGGGAGCCGGACGGGCGGCTGGCCCCTCACGTCTGCTCATTGCCTAGCCAGCAGTCCGCGAGGAGGGGTGGGAGGGAGGCGCGGCCGCGCCCCATGCCTGCTCCCCCCCTGGGCCCGTCAGCAGCCACATGGAGGCGGCACGGTCACAGCGCATCGCTGGGCCCTCCTCCCGAGGGTGGGGGGGCACCGCGGCCAAGCCCACCCTGCAGAGACATCGGTGGCTGCGGAGGACCCACGCACGCCCTGGTCCCCTCTTCTCGGGAAGGGAGCTCTTAGCTGAAGCTATATTCCAATGCTCCTGGCTTCGAGGCTAGAGCAGTGCGAACCTAGCGATCAGAGCTGGGAGGGTGACGGCTAGACCCCGTGGGCAGCCGAGGCTTGGGCAGGAGGCCCTGAGGATGCATAGCCCGTCCCCGCACACTCGGCTGAGCGCCAGCACTCCGGGACGGTCAGCCCGGGTAAGGGGGCTGCGATCTCCTGCCTCCCCAAGGCTGCCTGGACCCCCCGGAGCCAGCTCTGCAGCCCCTTTGCCTCCTCACGCCGCCCCCACCCTTGGCCTCACAACCCCAGGTGGATTCGTGGCTGGGACAGGTTGTCGTGACCTAGCCGGGACCGGCGAGGACGCTAGCTTAGCTAGCGGGGCAGTGGCGCCGCTCGCTCGCTCGCTCGCTCGGCTGCGGGACTTCCCAGCGAGCGCGTGCCTGGGGCGGTCGGGGCCGCGCGGCGGGCGGCCGGGGTCACGTGACTCGCGACCCGCCCCCTCACGCTGCCAAAGGGACGGCGCCATTTTGCCCGGGTGGAGCGTGACTTCGTCGCGGGGAGCGTGGGAGGCGCGCAGTCCCGGCGTCTGGCTTCTGTAGAACGCGTTCCCGGCTGCGCTGCGCTTACTGCTGTGGTGGCTGCCCCGGCGTCATCAGAGGCGCTGTCGGCAGGCTCTTACTCACTTGCCACTGCCACCTGGGCGTGGAGCCCAGCCCCTGGGCCCTCAGTCAAGGGAAAGCAAGGTGGAATAGAGGAGCCCACGGATGGTTTCCTAGGCACTCTCACTGGGCTTCACCTCTACAATGGGCGCTGCTAATGAACCCAGCAATGAAGAGCTGGAGGCAGCTTCCCGCAGACTGATAACAAAGACAGAGCATTGGGAAGTTGAGATAAGGAGGCAAACTAGAAGAGTAAAGGAAAGGAATGAAAAGTGGGGGAAAAAGGAAGGATAACCAGAGAGGGATTGAGAGAAGAAAAATGGAGAGATGAGTTGGGATGGTAGTGCATGCCTGTAACCCCAAAGCTTTGGGGGTGGAGGCAGGAGGATCAGGAATTTGGTATGTAGTAAATACGTGAGACCTTTAACAATTTAAAAAAAAAAAAAAAAATCAGTGGAGGTCACCTTGATTTCCACATTTGAGGAATGCTTGCTTGCCTTATGAAAATATTGAACCAAGGACATGATGACATCGGCCTTACAGTTACATCTTAGGCGAATTTCCCACTGACTACAATGAGTCATGGGTGGAATTTATATGCGATATAGGAGCTTGGGCATTGTTTAAATATATCATTTATACTCTGGTTACTGCACAACAAACTCACAAATTCAGTGGCTTATACAATGTATCTTGCCAGCAGCTCATTCAGTAGCTGAATCTGGAATAGAATATGGAAGCCCTCCATAGCTGGCAGGAGATACAGGCACAACTTAGAACTCAGCTGCAACTGTCCCCTTTCCACATGACTGCTCTCCTTCCTCAAAGGCTACTCTGTTCTTCAAGGAAGCCTCCCAGAGAAGTAATAGCAAGAGGACAAGACAAAAAGCTGTATTCTCTTTTATGACCTATTTAGAATCTACATGGTATCGTGTCCACTGTACTAGACTTGTTGGAACAGTCACAAGACCACACTACATTTAGGCTGGCAGCCCTCAGGAGTGTCAGTCATAGTAAGGACACGTAGAATGAGCAGGATATTGCAGTCATTAAATAAAAATGTTATGTCATATAATAGCTTCCTGTTCAGAATTTGTTTTTTTTTTTTTTTTTGAAAATTTGGATATTTATCTGAAATTGGGCCTGAAGAGGGAAAAAAAAAAAAAACATGAATTACTTAGAGGAGTTGTCCTGATTTGCCTAGGTTACTATAACAAAATGACCCAAACTGAGCAACTTATAAACAACATAATTTTGTTTCTGATAGTTCTGGACTGGGAGGTCCAAAACAGCATTGAAGCTTGTTTCCTTTTATCTCTTCATTTGTTGTGTTCAGAAGAATTCTCAAGTCACTTATTAAAAATCAGGAAGAGGAGCCGGGCATTAGTGACTCAGGCCTTTAATCCCCACACTTGGGAGGCAGAGGCAGATGGATCTTTGTGAGTTAGAGACCAGCCTGGTCTATAGAGCTAGTTCTAGGACAGCCAGAGTTGTTACACAGAGACTCCCTGTCTCAGAAAAACAAAAACAAAAAAGCAGGAAGGTCCTCTGTAGGAAGGGAAAAGATGGAATAGGATTTTCAGATACTTGCAAAGACCAAAGTGGTGGCTAAGTAAGATGGTGCTCTCCTTCCTACCCCCTGCTCCTCACATCACGTTACTGTGCTGTTATGTGGCTTTTACCAAAAGGAGAGAGAAGAGGAAGTCTGCTGAGAAGAGGATCCAATGGCACCAGACTCCCCATCTCGAGAAAACAGTTCTGTATTTCTGTGTGGCCAGTCTATACCTATGTGAAATATGTAGTCCGTGCTTTGTTAGGCACACATTACTAATGGTGACTGGGTCTCATTATCTTCTTCCAGACACACAGAAAACAATATTTCTCAACTGCCCTTTCAAGTAAGAGGGACCATGTGACTATTATGACTACTGAAACGTGAGCAGAAATGGTGAGGCATCTGGAGGCTGTTTGTGATTTCACATCTCTTCAGCCCTGCCACAGTGACTGGGGGAGTCCTGTGTTGAATGGAGCTGCCTACATGCAGGAGCAGTCCACGTCTCTGAGTCACCGTATGGGAGGACTCATGCCTTGGACTCAGAGCCACCCACAATGAATTTTGTGTGAGCAGGAAATAAGCATTTCTGTGCTAAACTACAAATATCTTTACAGTTGCCACCTTTCACAACACAATCTGCCTATGCTAGCAGATAGTCATGGAAACAGGCCTGCATAGTTAAGAGAACATACTTTATGTGAATGGAAGGTAGTAAGGTTTTTTCTTTTTTTTTTTAATATACTGAGAATGGCAATAGAACATTCTTGGTCTAGATTATAGAGCCTCTGGGAACCTTTACATTGAACTACTGGGGTTTTTATGTCCAAAACTGTGTCCATCTCTGATAAATTTAACTTGTTTAAATGGCTTTCTATAGAGTATTTAACCTTAATATAGGTGACAAGCCATTTTTCTCTGGAAACCTAGCCTGGATTATTTTTTACACAGGCAAACCTATCAGTACTCTCAAGATTACAGAGTTCAATATAACCTGCATGGCAGTGGGGGCAAAGGAGGTAGAATATGAATAGTGGTCTCTCAAACCTATGTGTGGATGCCTGTGCCATTTCTGACCCTGTATGTGAATGTCTGTACCATTTCTGGCCATCTTCACCTCTGTAAACTGTTGTAGGAACCTAACAGAGTCACTGTATCAAGGGTAAACATAACAGAATAGTTGTTGTCTAGAAGTACTTTAACGTTGAAGAAATCTTAGCAGAAATCAGGAATTGTTTTCCTGGGGGAATTTTACATGACTTTGGTGACCAGCAGCTTCTGCCACACCTGACACACTGGAATTATTGAGTACTGCAAACAGTACATAATAAGGACTAAGGCAGCAGGAATGACATACTTTCCTTCAGAAAAAAAAAATAGATTAGATCAGGGGCTTTGGTAGGAGGAAATTGCCTCCAAAACAACTTTGTGTAATAATCAATAAATATGCCTTTGTATGGCTGTTCAAGGTTCAGTCTGCCACACAGACCTAAAAGTTCATATTGGAGTAACATCTTTCTTCGACTAACACACACAACACAGAACACCTGACAGTATAAACTCAGTGCCCTTCTCTATGAAATAGACATAAGGGAAAAAGTCATTTGGACAGGCTATTTGGGGTGAGTACAATACCAAATTAACGAAAACTTCAGTGTCAGGCATTCCTGTATAACAAGTCTTCCTCTGTTGTGCCAGCCAGCTCTAAATAATGACAGGGAGACTTACTATTAATTATAAAAGCTTGGCCTTTAGCTTAGGCTTGTCTCAACTAGCTCTTACAACTTAAATTAACACATGTTTTAAAATCTATGTTCTGCCATGTGATGTTACCTCTCTTCCATCTTACACTTCCCATTTCCTCTCTGTGTCTAGCAGATAACTCTGCCTTTCTTCTTCCCAGAGTCCTCTCTGTCTTTGGAGTCCCACCTAACCTCTTCGTGCCTAGCTGTTGGTCATTCAGCTCCTTATTGAACCAATCAGAAGGTGCTTTGGCAAAGACTCATCTTCACAGTGTAAATAAATATTCTGCAACAATGTTGAACTTTACTATTAGATCAAGACCTGTTTGTTGATGTTTAAAGAAAACAAATACCAAAGTGGGGAAAGTATCCCCTTCCAGAGTTTTAAAGCATTTTCTTGTAGGCTCCAGTGAAATATTACTTAGCAGACCCTGAATTTTTAAAACAAACAAACAAAAAAAAAAAAAACCTTTTTCTTTTGAGGGAAGGTGTTGACAAAGAGTCTTCCCTAGCCAAGGCTGACCTTGAACTGACTTGAGCCAAGAATAAACTTGATTTCTGATTCTTCTACCTCTACCTCTTGAGTGCTAGAATGACAGACAAGTTCTTGTTAAGTAGATTTTTGTAAACATTTACTTAATTTAGAAGTCCATGATCTATAACTGTCTCATGGACAGGTGTGCTGGTACACATCTTTAACCTCAGCACTCAGTAGGCAGAAGCAGGTGGGACTCTAAGTTCAAGGCCAGCCTGGTCTATATAGCAAGTCCCAAGCCAAAAAGGGCTTC